CGCGACGCTGGGAGCATGCGCGCTGGAGTTTCTAGAAGGATCATGATTTATCGAGGAACCCCGCGAATCTCTGAGTGTTTGACAGGCACCCTCTTTTTTAGTATATAAGCCCGGCAAATAAAGCCAGCAATAGAAAAGATATAAATAGATTGAAGAAATAGATAATTGAGTCAAGCGAACAGCAGGCACTGCGATTTATAGTGTGTGTTATAAAGGTTGTTAAGTTTAAAGTGACTGTAGAAATTCTGTGTATATCTAAAAGTTGTATCAAGCAAGAATAAACTAGTTTTAATCAAGAAGGTACTTGTATCGCTGAAGTTTCTATGAAATAATTTTTACCGGAACTTATCAAACAAGCAGATACGTAACACACCAAACTTGTGTAACAGCTAAACGTGAATAAAATTTGCTTCAGCATTACAATTCATCACATATCTTGTTTGAATTTTTGTCGAGATAAATGGCACTACTCTTCATAACTCAGTCGGAGTTTAATGTCTTTAACAATGACAAACAAGTTCATGACTAAAGAGCCAGACGTGAACTATGTGTCCTTTGCAAGTTTATTGAGTATGATTTTTTAAGTGGCAGCTCAGCTAATAGGTTTTATATCTCTCTTCTAGGTTTTTATTTTTACAATAAAATTATGCTTTACGTCTGTAACATATATTAATGAGAAGATGTTTTCAGAAAAGAAGGAATTTTCTTAGACTTTATGTTTCAGAACATTTTGAAAGTAATGGGTTTTACACCCCCAAATAAGTAATAGACCCTAAAAATATCCTTTGTTATATAGGTGTTGGAGAAAAGGGGAAACATTTGCTTAAAGATGTGCCCATTCTTCACCAGCTGTTAAATTCTCAGCTCGCTGATGAATTTGTTATTTTAAGAACCGCAGCCTTTTAGACAGGTGATTTGTATTATTCAAACATATTGTTGCGTCAGAGAGGTCACGTGACTAGTATCACGCCACGTCCTTCTAGAAATATCCTGTTCCTTCGTGAATACTCTAGCATTTACTAGAGATGTGTTAGTCTTGTATATATAAGACGGTCACAATGTGACGGAAGAATGAGTAATTGAACTGCAGTCAGAGAGAATATTGTTACGCCTCCAGTCGTTAATTGATTTTCTGTAACTTCGTTCCGACGAAACTTTAGCGACACAAGTCCTTACTTAATAAAACTGGTTTATTCTTTCTGAATATAACTTTACGATACACTTGATTTGAACATTCGCGCTAAAACAAACGCTATAACAAATTTCAACAATACTCTCTGACTGCCGAT